CATCGAGGAGGCGCAATACAAACGGCACCGGACACTCGTTTTGACGGATATTTATCGTCATGGAAAACAAGGAGCACTTCCCATTTAATTCCATTTCAAACACATTACGCTCACACGGCTGAAGGCCAGAAGAAACGCGCAACGCTCTTAAGAGATTTCATGGCTGTTTGTTGCTTAGTCATGCGCGTGCCGACGCGAAGTGTAGTATAATCGGGTAACCATGGGCTTGAAGAGTATTCCTGTGGTGTAGGTCCCATCTAGCGGTACTACAAATTAGGCGTCGAAGAAGCAATCAACTTTATTGGGCGCTCTGTACCGGTATGACAGACATGTTGGCGTGGCGTTTCTAATTTTACCAAAGAAATCTAACCAGTCAGTTTCCTAGTCACCGATGAAACAAATTTCGTCAATACATCTGATGTACAACCTTGATTTAAGCCTCATTTGGAAAGACAGATGAATGAAAACAAATGCTAGAGCTAGGGGCGGTGCACGGCTATTACCTATAGCTATACGTTCAAGTTGTGCACTGAGTTTGCGAAGAGCACCAGGCTATTGTCAAATCTGTGAGATGGTTCTTGGAAACAGTCAGGAAGCACTTCGTTGGTTGTAATACCGAAGAATGATATGCTATGAAGTTTCCTCGATTACGCTCACTGTACCGACCCTGTTCATTCTGGAAACGGAATATTCCTGCAGGTTGTGGCATTATTTGCCACGTTTTGTGTTTTCACGTGTAGCGGTAGTATCTGAACTATAATCCTGCTGGACTTTATATTTGTGCTATGTCTGGATCCATCTTTTCTTCCAGTTATAAGACATGTCAAACCATGATCGCACAGCGACACGCCGATGACATTTGCGCGTTTTCGTTCATGGAACTAGGTCATGCCAAGCTTCTTTGCCGAAATCGATAGAAAAAGGACTGTCATAAAAACTTCATCAAACTTGTCATATATGCCTCAGTCAAAGGCGTAGGAACATTTCAAAAGTTGGGGGCCAAGCTCAGGGTGTTCTTCGGGAACTTTTTGTGGAAGGCGACGCCGATGACCGGCGGGAGGGGGGGGGGGGGTAGGGATGGAGGTTGTTATCTCTCTTTATTCCAATGGCATGGCTGTTATGCTAGATATGCATCTAGAGCTGTTTCTCGCTGGTGCATATTGTTGCCTACTCGACTCACCTGTCATCTGGCATATAAGGCTACCCAGCTTCCAAGATTATTCGTCCATTTTAACATTGTCCCTCCTGGGGCAGCGAAATTCTGGTCATTCTGTATATTGGGCATTACGAAACGGGCCCCTTCCACGGAAGTTATTTCTCATCTTAAACATTGTGTACCTTGGACGTTATGAAATTTGGACATTCTGTACCTTGGACATTCGGTACTTTGGACATTCTGTGTCTTTGGGCATTCTGTACCTTGGACAATATTAACGCCTCCCGCCAATAATTACGCCAACCAGCGATCACAAAGTACACTCGTATCAGAACACATTTGTTTCAGCCGGTTCGACGGGTGTGAAGCTGCAGCAAGTGACATTCGCAGCTGTGTTGCGGTAACTTGCAGTTGCCAAAATTATCACGCGGATGAAGGTAATGACAGCTACGACATATCACGTGGTCCGCTCATGACCCGCGCAATTCGCTTCAGTCAAGAGGCTACACCCTCGGAACAATGATTGGCTGCCCATATGTAACAACAAGGGGGATACTGTTGACCTGAAATATGTTCGCCACTATGCTCATGTTTGCTAAAAGTAAATGAGAAGCGTGTGTTCGGTACGTTGCGTTGCATCCGTCGACTTACTCCGGCTTATTCCCATCTGCATTTGGCATTATCCGTTGAAAGGCGTTGCAAAGAGCGGGCTGACACGCTAATTTTTCACTCTCCGCATTTGCGTAAAGCAGAGTCTGTAGTGGTCATGTAAGCACCTAGGTGAGGCTGGACAACAATGGAACCTGGCTCTGCACGTGGAAACCGAGCAATCCCCAGCTGATGTGATTCAGCCCTGGGATTGCGAGATACGCCTCGCTATACCGAACACTGGAGAAACGGAGATATAACGAACACTGACGCCACCTCAAACAGTCTCGTCACTCATACTAGCTAGTGTTATCCTAGTAACCGTCGAGCAGATCTCAGTGCGAACTATAGCTTATAGTACATTTCTGCCGTTCAGTGATGACGGCACATGTTTAAAAGGCACAAAGAAGATCCGTCATCACGAAAATGGTTTTGCATGATGTTACCTGGAGTGCGCACGTTAACACGCGCTCAGGTGGAGATTAAATTAATCCCCCCCCCCCCTCCCGAAGGTTTTTTCCGGAATGGCTGCGCCAAACTTTGCGTTCCTATAATTGAATAGCGGATCCTTTGATGCAAAAATTAGATGTGCCTTGTAAGTTCCCTGACCTATGGGGCGTTACACAAAGCCATATACATCTGATACTTCAGGTTCTTTGTCAATAAAAAGTTATATTTATAATCATATTAACTTTCAGTAACATATGGTCAGATAGAAGGTCGGAACGAGCTCAAAACTAGTTTGATTGTTTGCTGGAGAGCTTGGTTTTATGGAATAGCTTTGAGTGCTCATTTCGAGTTCATTAATGACAGGGACCGCAGGAGGCATGTTCCACGGCCTTTTTTATGATCAGAGTTGGTCAGTGACCTAAAATGACCCAGGTCAACATTTTGTTCTCCGGAGCATACCACCTAGCGTTATCCCTGACGCCTATTCGAAGGGCAAAATAGGAGCAATCTGGTAGAAACTTGGCCACCTTGACCATATAAAGGTCAAACAAGGTCAGTGATCTCATCGATCTTTTGGCTAAGAACAGGTATTTAGCTTCACGGCGGTTGCATGAGGAGGTCTGAAGGCACTTGAGACACCATTCTCAAATTTGGCCCCGTTTGACTTTATCTGGCCACAAGGTCATTACCTAGGAACCTCAAATTTTGACGCAAGTAAGTCCACGTACAAGCCAATCTACTATGTGTATCTCATGTTCCTAGCTACCTTAGTTTTTTAGACCCCGGAGAGGGGGGGGGGGGGGCTCAAATTGATTCCCTCATCAGCAAAGGGTATTCAACTGGCCACCCGGGTGCGTGCTAAAAGAAGTGTTCCATATGTATACGGGGTTTTGATTTGAAATAGCTGTCTTGAAGATCTTTCGGTGCTGTTTACAATCCTGCGCTTCTTAAGCCATAACGCCTCTAGTTTTGAGCTCCACGCCTGCGAAAATTGGGATAGTATTTTGGAGAGAGTATTTCAAAGTCACCTTGGCATTCATGACGTCATAATTACGTTATAAAAATCCTGTCGCTCCATAACCCATGCGGTGATCAAGGCCCAAAAAATATAATCGTCGACGTGGTCATATCTTGTGTTCGTAAGCACGATTTCCAGATTTATTGGCCGTCAACCGGCTCTCAATCAATGTTGTGCAAAGTACGATGACGTGATCAAACCAGGACGCACTGACGAACATATTTACCCCAACAGCAGCATTGTGCTGTCTAGAACAGTCTTTTCCACTCAAAAAGCATACTAAGAATTATAACTAAGCTTGTTTCATCACGTCTGATGCTTACTTCAATATTTTCAAATGTGAAGCATTCCCTTTGAGACGCGTGCCACGTTTTACCCCTAATACGAGTGATTTATTGATGTACAGATGAAAATCTGGTTTGCACGTTGTCACATGATTTTCTTTCAACATACTCGCAGAGCAGCGCGCAACTGCTTTCATCAGTGTTACGGTTTTGTACGTTGGGAAATCAGCAGACTTCAACTTGTTACACGAGTTGCCCTTTTTGTCGTAATGATCCCAGCTGTTCATGCGGATCCAATACAGCTTCACCTTAGCCTGTATCTATTATCAAGGCTGCCGGCATAGAACAGCTGTCTAGATGTGTCAGCGTTGCATATCACTCAGTTAAGCAATTTCTTTGACGATCAATGTGGTTGATCATCATGGCTCAGTCCACGGCATCAACATATCCATGACAGCCCTTGTTGGTCCGGCCTTGTAGACTAAATTTCCTAAAACTGCGAACATAAACCCCCCCGGCTGTAAAACTTCCATCTAAGACACCATCCATTGTCTGTGATTTAAAAGGAGCCTGTGTTTGATTGGGCCTGACTTCTACCTAAGTTTTGGGCACCCTGAAATGAAAGAACAGAGTTGGGAAGCTTTAGCAGCAACCCGACACATCTGTCTTATAGGAACACTACATATAGCAGGTCAAACTATTAAACGCTGTCACGAAATTTCCTGGTCCCCTCAGGAGGAAATTGTGTTAATTTTTACAGATGTGTGCAATGGCCAAGTGGGTTACTATTACGCCGTTATTTACCGTTGTTTTAGGCTGGTAAACGCGTGACAAAACTCCTGTCGAATATTCAAAACTTATAATAAAGTTTTGGGGACCACGTCACACGTTCTTCTCCAGTATCCGTGGAGGTCCGTTGCCGTCGAAAGGCATACACATTATGACGTGCCATTGTCATCTGTCACGTTTTTATTTCTGCATCATGATATGAAGGTGACAGAAACGCGGTCATGCCTACGGCCAATAGCTACAAGGAAAATCACTCAGCGCTTGAATCAATGCTGGGGCAAAGCGTTGCCACTGTAGGCCGGGCTCGTAACAATGCTGCGTCCCGTGTTCATACGTATATTTGTATATTTGTATCAATTGTGCGTATATTTGTATCACTTAGGATCCTGGCACAACTGATTTGCGAGTGGCAGGAACGGCGCAAAAGGTCTGGACGTGCCACGGAAGCGCCGTAAGTGACAACTGTCTGCTGCGCACAGCACAGTCTCTGCCGCGCGCCAGTAGCTGGACACCGGCTAGCTATGGCTATGCAAGGCTTTTTAAGGATTGTTTCCACCCGATTGCTTAGGAAAACGTTCTATCTCAAATGTGCTGGATGTCGCGTCCGTCGGTGTTGCTCCGACCATAGTTGTTTGAGACGTCAAAGCGGTACTACCTGCGGTGGTCGAAATCACCGGCCGGTTCAGCTGGTACCACAACTCAGTCAGCAGCGTGAAGGTGTTGCTGCGCGTTCGTTGCGAGCAAAATCCATGGAAGTCATCCAAGTCGATAGAGTAGGCCACTGCGCCGGCCAGCCCGTGCAGCCGGATGTACCGCGCCTGGGCCGGCAGAAAAGGCGGTCAGGTGTGGCTCAGCGTCATCAGACGCGCAACCATCAATGAACGCCCCGGAGCCGGCTCATCACACAACTGTCAGCAGGCACTCTGGCCGCTGCCAACACAAGCCCGTCAAGTGACAAGGTCAGTTTTTTTAATGTCTCGTGGCTATGGCCGCTCCATGTGCCCTTCACATGAAAACTCAACATTTACTTTACGAGCGCGTAAGGTGGGAGGGCTATTCTAAACAACACTCCAACAATATAAGCTCGCTCTCCCCTCCTAGAATGCGAAAGAAGTATGCACGGATCTGTCCAAACCATGATCGCCTTAGCGATGTCACATAAAGCTTTACTATAGATGGTTTACTCATAACAACTACAAGCAGCAAAAGCCAATCATGATGGAGGGCTCTGTAGTGGGAAGCATGGCCACGTGCTCCACTACGCCGGCGCGAGAATTCTCTCCCTCTCTCTAAGAACAGACTCGGTGACAAAGATATGATTTTGTTTCGACTTACTGACTGACAGACTGGCTGTTTCATCTGCGGTTCTTATAATTTTCCTGTTTCAGGTCACATGTTTTATGTCATCCAATTTCATTGGCACAAAAAACGCTGCGTGACATTGGACTCTTACCCTGTGTTTATGCGCCCATGTCATAGCCCCGACTGGTTATGCGTCGAAGAGTTTTTGAGCGCGGTGATCAGATGATGAGTAGCATGTCCAGCATCTTTACCATGCTGCCACCTCACATTATTGGTGTTTTGTTGTGTTCTTTCATTGCTTCTGTTACGTTCGCACTTATAAATCAATCGTGAATTAGAAGTTACCTTTCGTAGACATTACCTTTCCATTGTTTTTTCACGTGAGAGCTACATTTTCAAAATACACTGGGTATAGAACGATGCGAGCAATTCAACTGCTTGTGCGATGGAGTACGTGTGCCGGAGTATATCTACCACAGAGCTTGTGATCAACTTTTCGGTTCCCTCTTTTGCTTTTCTGTTCACGAGTTCCTCTCTGTGGAAAGCCTTTACTGATGGCGCTTTGCTTTTCACCAGGGTTAACGACCCTGCGATGCTGTAGGATTCTCGTCTCTTGATAAATCATCCAGCAGTTGGTTACCTTCTCTTGCATCGCCCTTTCATTGTCGAAACCTATCCAAACGTTTCGCCAGCTTGCAAACGTGGCTTTCCTGTCATGCAGGTATGTCTGAAGCCTCGGGTAGCGGGGCAGATAAAGGTTGCATAACTGAAACATACAAATATCCTGAGCAAAATGATGTAGACGCTGAAAGGCAAAAATCGTCGTCAACAACATCAAAACATCCGTGCTTTTCAAAACATCTGTGCATGCTTTTCCAGCACACGCGCAGAAGGGACCCATTGCGCACTTCGCTGGCTTTCCCTTGCAGGCAATTCGTCGTGGTCATAGCAATCCCATAGCATAGCGAAGCATAGGCGACATGACTAACAGTCGATAAACGTAAGCGCCAATCCTATCCCATCCTATCTAAACCTGCCTGCAGATCGTCTCCAGTTGCACTCGTCCCTCCGAACACGGGTCCGCCCACCTCTCCAAAGCCGCAGACGCCGCGCTCTCTGGTGACGGCGCACGAAGGCATCATGCCTCCTGCCGGCGCGTGCAGGCCGCGGCAGCCAATCTCTCTCAGCAGGAAACTGACACCGAAGAAAGGCACGGTCGTCATGAGCTTACTCGGTGGCGCGCCCTGCTCGATGTAATAGCGCACGGTGGCGTCCTGAAAGGTCAGCGGCACGAGTCAGGGGTCACACGTGCTTGCCGCTGGCTCTCTCTCTCTCTCTCTCTCTCTCTCTCTCTCTCTCTCTCTCTCTCTCTCTCTCTCTCTCTCTCTCTCTCTCTTTCCCTCTCTCTCTCTCCCTCTCTCTCTCTCTCTCTCTCTCTCTCTCTCTCTCTCTCTCTCTCTCTCTCTCTCTCTCTCTCTCTCTCTCTCTCTCCTGCCCTTTCTCTTCTCTCCTGACTAAATAGCATGCGCCCTCATTGGCAGCATGTAAGCACATAGGACGAGCGTATGTGCTGCTTTGCAGCATGCTTAACAAAATTAAATATCATGGATCAGCTCGGTGATGTCCGTGTTAAGATACCACAGTACGGTTACAGATTATGGAATAGCGTTACGGTTCCACATTTTGTTTCCTTTGACTTATGTGTTACAACAGACGCGTAAGATTCAATCAGCAATACCAGTCTGAAGCTTGAAGCAGCAAGCTTGAAGCACTCGGTTCAGAAAAAAGATATGCAACCATGAAGCTATTGCCCCGCGAATCAAGCGAAGCGCAATGCTATGGCTTCGATTTCTCCCCATTGGCGATTACCAGGGTAGCCCTTTTCGGGGCGCATTTCGGCCTTGGGAGTAGAAGTATCACTTGACCCGCGTGCCGCACTGGTTCAAACGTTAAGCAATGTGCTCCTCCGTACCAGACCCTACCTGCTGAACCAAACACAAACGTTGCTTAATTCGCATCAGTGGAGGTGTGCACGGTGGTTGTCATGGGCACAGTACTCGTGACTGCAGGGAAGAGGCGCAGTGTTATTACAAAGAGCCAGCGCTATCATTAGGCGTAACTGCTCCTGGGGTTTCACTAGAGTATGTTTTTGAAACCTGTCCCAAAGTTGGGACACTCCTTTTAAGAGGGCGGCACGTCTCGCTTTCCGGGCGACACCTGGTTCTTGACACCTGTACCCGCTCTGTGGGCTATCTCTCTGTTCCCGGTGCCTCCCGCAGCTCTGGAAGCACCCACCACACTCTTGTCGCTGTTGCCGTGCTGCTCGTCCTCGGCCGAGGTGAAAAGCGGCGCGTTCAGCCCGGTGACGGACTCCCAGCCGCCGTGGTAGCCGTACGTCAGCACGTTCATCGCGTCCACCAGCCTGCTGGCGCAAGGCATGTCGGAGGACCACACAGCGCGCACGTGCGACACGTCCAGCGCACGGCATCTGCGGGACTGGGGCGGCCGTCGTTTTGGCCGCGCAAGTAAGTGAACTGCTTGCAGTACAATGGGATGGTCTTTCCATCTGTGGCTACGCCACAGACACTGAAACCTTTCCAGACGTCATCGTACTACACGGGGGCACGGGAACAGGGACGACGGAGTCAAGAAGACGAGTGACTGGGTCCTGGGAAAACATGTCAAGTCTTTAAAAACAAGCCGCCATTTCTTGTTTTGTCCCTTGCGCTGTGACTGTGGGCAGGATTGGCGCTACGGGATTTGAGTAGGGGGTTTTGGGGTTCGGGGGGGGGGGGGGCAGGATTTTCCTGACGACCTCCTGCGCGGTGTCGTATTCAACGAGGAGGAGGCACTGGGGACATGTGCTATCTTGTCAAGCTGTTACATGCATAATATCCAAGTAACCAAATGTCTGCAGCTCCCAAACCAGCAAAGGGCCCTCCTTAACACAGCATTTGGCCTCCCGATCTAGAGTATTGGCTACCCTATGCATAGAAGTGACCTCATTACCCAGAAAATGGGTCTAATGATGCAGCAATAGGCCTTCTAGGCTCGACTTATAACTTTTCAGCTATGTTATATGGCTTCCTCGACCTGTGTTTTGGTACTCCACGGCTAGCTACAATGCTTATAGCTCGGGAAAAAGGGGCCTCCCAAACTGCTGAGGGGGGGGGGGCAAAAACACACTTACCTGTCGGCAGTGTGGGGGGGGGGGGGGCAACTCCCACGCTGCGCGGCCCCTGGCTGTGGGGATCCATGGTTTGACTCTGTTCCTGGGCCTTGGATTTGCCAGTCACTGGCGCAACACGCGGCCGATTGCGGGACGCGCCAGAATTACGCATTCAGACACAGTTGTCAGGCGACACAGGCGACACAGGCGCTGACACAGGCGATGCATATCTACCCCCCTGTTCCCATCCTCCCATTCGTTAGCGGGTTGGATGTGGTGTATACTATGCGGCAATCAGTGCATAAATACCCACAGTAGCCCTGGCGTGAGTAAAAAGTCAGCCGTAAGTGCAAACTGCGGAGATGGCTGTCGTGCCTCCAGCCATGTTTGCAAACTAACTTTGTTCTGTTATACATTTACGGTTTTTCATGGTTTGCATGCGTGGTTTTGGGTCCAGAGTGTCCGTTAAGCATAGCTTGTTGCGTATACCTTAAACCCACCACCCAAGTTGGGCGGTTTAGTTCAACGAATAACTGCCTCCGCTGTTTTGCCATACAAGAATGCGATGGGTTTTACGTGCCGCACAACCTTGCGGTCAGTTGGCCAGTTGCCAGCTGACATTTCTGTTTCACTCGAGTCAAACAATGTGTCCGTTTTGGGCCTCGTGCCTTGTGCCGCTTTGGGGCTCGTGCCCTGTGCCGCTTTGGGGCTCGTGCCCTGTGCCGCTCGATTAGAATTCCAGCATTTTCCCCCTAGACCACGGAGACGACAGTTTGTAATCCAGGGCCAATTTTGAACTACTCACACGGACTTGTGTGCACGTATGCGCTGGTTGCCGTACAGCATCACCACCTCACTGCCGTAGTCAGCACACCAACTGGATACTGGCGGAAATGATTGTAGGATTTCCTTCTTCCTACTCAGGCTCGTTTATGGATTTCGTTGGAAGAGCAGAGGGTGGTTGAATATGCATTCAGGCGACATATATTTTTCTACGTTTTGCAAACCCGAAAGCACTAGAAATTGTTTTTTAAAACTATAATCGTTCTCAAGACTCTCCTGAAAAGGGGGCTCTATAAAGCGTGGTATATATCAAAATGCGTTAAAGATATCATATTTCTTGATGGATTCCCTCAATTTAAATACTGTAATTTATACAACTATAACCATCGTTGAGCAGATAACAGCATGAGCTTGCCAAAGCCGGCTCTGCCTTTGATGAAGATTTGTTTCTTGAGTAGCTAACAATCAAATCAATAACGTTAGTTTTTGCCCAATCATGTAACATGACTAAATACACACCTTTGCAAACATAAAAGTGGAGAACATTTTGTTTTGCTTTATGGGGGGACTCCTTAGGCGCTCTTGTATGCATTGAAGCAAAAAAAAACCACACTTGGTTCCAATCCTGTTTAACTATTAACCACTGGCATCTCTACATTCGGTTCTTCTTGGCATTTAACGACGCATTCCACAGCTTAGGTCATTTAGCATCGAAGCCTCTCATGCCCCTTACTGCGAGAGGCAATGCAACTCCCGGCCGGCTGCTAGGCTCAAAGCCCATAACCTACCATCGTGGGATGAGCCTCTCCAAAAAAGATTCATTTTTCTTTATATATATATATATATATATACCAAAACTGTTAAAAAACAAAACTGTAGTTACTACCGTGTGAAATTGTTTTGTTAAAAAATACTGTCAGGTGAAAACTGTGTTACTTTGGGACCTCTTAGGAAACCCGAGTTTGAGGTGTGCATATCTGTCCATAACATAATATTTTAGCCACGCACCAGATGGGTACTTGGATAATTAAAAGGCTCATCATTCAGCCATGTTGCTAAGTATGCTTTTTGGAGGGGGGGACTTTATCCAGTAATTATCCTGATTTATTCAGTGATCAACAATCCCATTTGGTTTCAACACGTCACTTCCTCCAAGCAATCATCTGTTTGTCTCTGAGAACCAGCTTATCTTCAAGCTCATCAGTCCCTTCCAAGGCGTCATATCCTGATAATGTAGCTTAACCTAATGTTTCCAATGTTTCGAAATGACTTTTTATTTCGTGATGACCTTTTTATACATCAGAATTAAAACATTACCGTCGCCTTTGTCATTGAACGACTAATTAGGTCATTCAGTTATGTCTATGAGCACTGCATATTGTTTGAAATTTTAGTGGAAACATATTGCAAGGGAGTGGGCTTACTTGCTGATTGCCGGTATGTTGTACATTGCCCTGAGCTCTGTTGGTGGTTTGGCAGCCAAAGTCACCATCAGCGTCCTCTGTGTATTGGTCAAACTTTTCTGAAGCAACTTAAGGAGCGCCACAAAATTTTCCTGGAAACACAAGCATTCCAAGGAGTACATTGGGGCTGTTGTAGGTATTTGTGCACTGACTGCCGCATATTATACACTGCAGCCAGTCAGCCAACAAATGGGGGAATGGGAGGAGGGTGTAAATGGGGTAGAACATTCTCTATATTCAATGTAATACAAGGCGCGATGACGCAATCACACAATAACATATGAGCAGCATCTTTACTAAGTAGAGAAGGTATGCTCTTTTAGAGCAGCTTTTGCCACTTTATAAGTGAATTTATTTTATCACATCTAATGTTTACTTAAATGTCTTCAAATGTGAATCATGTCCTTTAAAGGCATCGAGAACGAACGAGAAAAAACTCAACCCAAGACCTGTGAACATGGGCTTTCTATAATAACGGATCGCCAGTGTTTAATTGCCAATGTTTTGAGTAAGTGCTTTAGGTACTTACATCTCATGGTAACTTTGTACCATTGCACTCTCATCCCGCTGATGATACGAAATGTATCAAAACGTTGACGAATTACCTAGATGTCAGCGACTGTTGTCCTCGCAATGAAACTTTGTTACATGTGATATATATGTATATAAACATATACCTAAATATATATATATATATATATATATATATATATATATATATATATATATATGTATACATATATGCTGCCCTTGCCATTAATTTTTTATTACATTTTATATACAAACATATATATATATATATATATATATATATATATATATATATATCCATATATAAACTAATCCCTAATCATTCGCTTATTGTTCTATTTCCAAAGCCCAAACTCGGTATTATGAGTCAGAATTTTTATTCCGTACAACCATGGACCTTTAATAAACCAAGACGTCCTGGTTTTAAGATGTTGTCAAGAAACATGAGTTTTATTGCCACTGACAGTCATCATAAGACCTCTAAGCTCATAATGTCGAAAGTCCAGGAACACAAGGCCTTTCTTGCATACATTAAGCTTAAGCTTGGCTCCGACTCGGACCAGAATCGGCGTTTGTTCCATCTGATTCGGCTTTAGTTCCATGTAATTCGAAGTTATTTTCACTCAGTTCGGATTTAGTTACATTTGATTCGGCTTTAGTTCCATGTCATTCGGAGTTAGTTTCACTCGGTTCGGATTTAGCTCCATTTGATTCGGCTTCAGCTCCATGTAATTTAGAGTTAGTTTCACTCAGTCGCATTTAGTTCCATTTGATTCGGCTTTAGTTCCATGTAATTCGGAGTTAGTTTCACCCAGCTCGGATTTAGTTCCATTTGATTCGGTTTTAGTTCCATGTAATTCGGCGTTAGCTTCACTTAGTTCGGATTTAGTCCCATTTGATTCGGCTTCAGTTGCAGTTTATTCGGCTGTGGTTACACTTAAGTTCGCATTTATTTCAATTTCATTCTGTTTCGACAACTAATTCATTTGTTCACAATCAATCGCAGATCTGTTACAGAATGCCACAGAAGCAGCTGACGAGCCAGCCATTATTTTGTGCTCTATCCTAATATTTTGGGACATAAATTGATAATTATACAACCTGTTTGTGTGGACAGCAATGTTTTCACGGATGTACGCACGTATAAGTAGAAACATGAGCAGATACACATTACAGTCAAATCGCTATAGGTGTATCGCATTCAGCCAGGTGAGCGACGTCATGCATGTCGCTGAACCTGGAAGATTTTGACACGTCTTAATCGGAGGAATGGGACATGCGTAATGGCTCGCATACGCATAATGCTTGACAGCATGCATATCCTGTGTTTGCTTAAATTAGTTTTGAATATGGTGTACCTCTGGGCAATGCCTAAAGCATACAGATTGCAGCTGTGAACTTACCGAAAGTCATGTCGAACATTTTACCTTATCATGTGACGGTCTGCCATCCCGCGCTGGGTACTGCCAGTCCAGGTAAAGTCCATCGAAATT